TGAACCAAGAGCTCCATATCTATTACCAAAAGGAGTGAGCAGGATCAAAAGCCACTCCAGCTCCTGCTGGATCAGCCACTGTTTCCTACACTGTATTGTGTATTATTTCTTGCACAGCAAGTTTCTGATAGACAAAATACAAGGGGTTAAGACTTGTTAGAACTTAAAAAATTTGGTTTTTTATTCCCAGCTCTGGACAAAAAAATAGGGCCTAGTGCAATAGAGAGCAATGTGTAGCCAGTATGTAAGCCCCTGAGGCACTTCTGTGCTAAAACATCAAGAACCTCTGTTATCAAAGTTCAAAGTATAAGTTTCTAGCCCTCGTGGGTCGAAGGGAAATGTTGAGAACATAAAATTCAGTGTGCTCATATCTGCATTCTTCCTGGTAGTGAAATTGAAGTTTCCTTCTCTCTTTGCAATTATGTAGTTTTCTGTTCCTAATGCACAACTAAACAGAGTAGATATAAATTTTTCTTGCTCTCAGTTAAGATCCCCTTTACATTCCTAATTTACACCATTTGAAGTGATCTGTCATGATTCTCCAATGAGTTTTGGAAATGATGTTCTGTATACAGTCTTAAGATCCTATGCTAAAGAGTTGTCTGCATCCTCTATAAAGTTCCCATTGTTTTTAATGCAAAACTGAAACTGACTTCCAATTGTGAAACAGATGTTTCCTGGCCAACATTAAGTACAATATGTCTTCAAAACCATTGAGAATCTGAAATGTTGTATAATGTGCCCACCAGAATACCTCCATCACCTGATTTTTACAAGTTTACCAAGGATAATTTCTTAATATTGTATAGCGTCCTCTTGGCATTGCAATCTTTTAGGATTTATCCTGCTTTCCTATCCTAAGGATAGGAAAGCCATCCCCTGGGTTTTTGATAGAGAGAAAAAAATGGTTCTGGCCAATTCCATTCCCTATCCTTTTCTATGTCCCCAAAGCATTAATATTGGTGGCATGGTCTACTTATATAGTCCTTATATAAGAACACTCACTGCTAATGAAAATACATACACACGCAAGCACACAGTTATAACTCTCTGCCCACTGGAAAGAGCCCATCTATAAATCCTACATTTATTTTAGACTTTTTGGTGATTATGTAAAGGTTACCGCGCTTTTATCCCACGGATTACAATACTGAAAATTAAGGTGGAACCCTTAAAGTCTATTCCCATCTATGGACTAGACAGAAGATAATCTACCCCCACTTGCTTTCTTTTTTTTTTTTCCAAAACTTGATTACCAGATGACACTTCTCCATTGAGCAGAACCCAAAATCTGGAGCCCTCTTGCACATTTTTGCCCTTTAAACATACAGTCATTTCAGCTGTTCCATTACCCTTTGTAGAGGGCTAAGGTATCTGGGAATACTAAATCATTTTTTTTCAGTTTAAATATTTATATTTTTAAAAAATGGGGAAGAAAAAAATAATAATAAAAAGCAATTGACTCTGGGCAACAACCATGAAAACTGGAAGAAAAGGCTACCTGAACAGAAAAGAGAATAAAAAGCTATTTGATTAAAACCTCCTGGCACCTCCAGCAAGCTCTTTTTCTTGCCAATCACCGAAAGAAAGAAGGGGCAATCAGGGCTATCAAATGCTACTGTTGGGGAGAGGGAAGGGAGAAGCCATTTGGGTGCTGCTGAAGCATAAATCATTTCAGCTCAGGTGAAGATTGGGAAAAGGAGGAAAACCACATTGCCTCATCTTTCCCCCGCCCCCCCAAACAGACAATGCACTATGGTGAGTGAAAAGCTTGGGGTCGGGTCAGACAGGCAAGATGAGAGAAGAAAGCGAGCTTTTAGCCCTCTGAACCCAGTCTTTTGGATCACCAGATAACCGGGATAAGGAAGCCACGAAAGCTGGGTCATTTCTGCCTCCCTCCTCTCACCAGGTATGGTCCAAGCCCTTGCCCTTCCCAACGTTGTCTTGTTTTCACAGAGGCAAAGGAAGGCTGAAATGGCTGAGACAGTAGCGTTGACAGAGTCCCTGTTCTCTCCCTCCCCCTCACTAGCGTGGCCCCGTTCTCCTCAGCCCATGAAGGAGTCGCCCTCGTCTTCTTCAAAGTGGCACTGCTGGAGGACCTTGATGTGATACTCGTAGATCTTGAGGGCCGGTCCCAGGCGAATAGAGAGGCCAGTAAGCACATCAGTGCGCTGCATCAGCAGCAGAGATTTCCCATCAATCTCCTAGGGAGGGGGAGGGATACACAAAAACAGAACATCGTGAGATTAGTGCACAGCAGCATGCCAAAAAGAGGTTTCTTCCTTTCTATAAGGCAGGAAAAGAGTTCCAAGTATGGTGGATTAAAGCAGCATTGAGGCATATATCCATGCATGCATACATACACATGTGCATTGCGCATATGCGTATCTCTCACCAGTCTGTGAGCCGAGAAGAGCCATGACAGAACCACCACCGCCTAATTGGGAAGGGGCTTTGTAAGACATCGAGTCCATTACTTTGCTTAGCACAGGAAATCTACTAAAGAAAATGTGTTCTAGAAATAGATATGGCTGCAGTTACTCTCTCAATATATAGGTACTTTTTATTAGATTTTTATATCCTTCTTTAGTGACCATACGTGGGACCAGTACCTCTTTCGTTAAATAAAGCAAAACTATGACTCTGCTTATGATCTTATTTCAAGTTTCCTTTACTTTACAGACCTGCAAAGATTGTCAATGCAATCTTAGTTACTGGTACTTTTATCTCTGTCATTAACTACAAACGATTGCTAAATGAAAACTTTACCTGTATTTACCTTTTATTCACTTGCTAATTTCAAACGTATTTATAATAAAACTAAAAACAACCAACCCAACTGAACTGGCTCAGCCAACACACCCTTAGATAAAGTAAGGCAGGTGAGTGGGGCCCAATACACTTCCTAGCTGCTTGTCAGTGCTCCCCATTCTATTCCTACCCTCTTAAAGTAACCAGGCACCCCAGGTGTGCTGGCAGAGTTTACCAGTGTGGAAGTAAAATTCAATAATCAGTTCTACTGGCTTGTCAAAATGGAATTCAAATGTGCACCTATGATTCCTAGGCATCAAAATGGTTTAATTGCCCAACACCTAAATGCGAGACGGAAATAAGATCTAAAACAGTGATGGCGAATCTTTTAGAGACCGAGTGCCCAAAAACTGGCCCCGCCCCTACTCCACCCCCTCTGCCCCGCCCCCGCTCTGCCCGCGCCCTGCAGCATCAACTGCATGATGGGGTGTGAGGGCAGAGTCTTGTCTACGCTGCCTGGCTGCCATGTCCTTGGCTGCACTGCTCCGTGTGGGCCACGCTTGGGGGCAACTCTCCTTCAGGGGGGCTGCTAGAGAGGAGGGGGTCACTGGGGGGAGGCGAGGCTGGGGCAACAGCACGTGTGCCCACAGAGAGGGCTCTGAATGTCACCTCTGGCACCCGTGCCATAGGTTCGCCATCACTGATCTAAAAGATCTAAGCTTTCAGAAAGCACAAAGCTTTTTACAAGCCTTTATTGCAAACTGAAATTTGTATTTTTGAAGAAGCCAACAAAAGGCTATCTAACAAAGAGCACAGATCATAGTAAAGAATTAGGGAGCATAATTGTGGATGGCTGAAGTCATCAGGAGGTGCAAAATCTCTCTGAATCTCTCTCTCTGGAAACATGTTTTAGTGAGAGCTACCCAAAACTTGTCACAGCCTGAGCTCAAGAAAACCAGTCATGAAAAGGAGGACCACAAATGACAACGGGGCCTCCATCCAGGGAGTGGCCGCTTTCTCATCTCAATTTTACCGAGTTTCAAAGGGAGTTTTTTTAAAATAAGACATAAAAGACGCACATGGTTACTGAGATAAACCAGTGATTTACTTTTAAGCAGGTTGTTCTCTTGAAATACTTAGAGACTGGAATGGCATTGAGAATCACGAGGGTAGGGAACAGGCAGAAGCACTACATGAAAGAAAGCCATAGAACAACTGAAGTTTGGATGTACCTTTACCCAGATTTTTAAAGCAATTTTCCCAGTCCAATGGGACCTAAACTCTGGAAAGAGTTCCAGCATATGCTCCATCAAAATGAGAGGCCAAGACTTTTCATAAGACTTTAGCTGAAGTGTAATCCTCCAATCCCTCTTCCTGGGGTTCTCACCTGCTCCTGAAAGGCTGAAGCTTGCTCAGCAAACCCAGCTTCTGTGAAATAATCCACAACGTCACCGACAGTCCATTCCACAGGGTCAGAAGGCTTCTCTTTCGCCGAACTGGAGGAGGGGAGAGAAAGTGAAATTGAGATCAGAGGCCTTTTGCACGGCTTCTTCTCCACCATCAGGAGAAGCCAGGGATTTCCTCATCAGCACCAGATCAGGGATACTGTTCACATGTGCATGTACACTCATACTGCACCGAAGGAATTCATCACAAGTGAATTGTACAGCATCTTTCTGCGGCAGTTTAAATCTGCCTTAAAGCATCCACTGCAGACATAGAAAAATGCACCGATTTAGTACCCACGCTTTATTTTATTTTTCAAGCACACTGTCAGGAGAGATTATAATTTAAAGTAAAAATTAAGAAAATTGAATACCTCACATCAGAAAATTGTTAAGAGTATCACAACTGACAACTAAATGTAATGGCCTTAAAAACATTGGGAATATAAAACAAAATTATTGGCCTGAAGCTGAAAGCAGCTGTTAAGGCAAATCTCTCTTGGGTCAATGTTCCACAACTGGGAATGACTGAAGATACCCTCTTTGCCTGCAACTTTTCATTTTACATTAGTGCTACCTAAAGGAGGCAATGGGAAGTTAAGTATATGTGAGTCAGAGTGGCCAACTATTCTAGTCCTTAGCTCTAATGATATCTGAAAGGCAATGTATAAAGTAGTTGGCACAGTACAGGTGCATTACAACTGTTAACATCCAGCCATGCTTGGTAGGTTTGCAGCTGGACTTTGCATCAAATGCCGCTTCTGAACAGCAAGCAAAGACAGTCCAGTATAGAGGGTCAATAAAACAGACTGACCAGGGCACAGAGAACTGAAGCCGGGCTAGTCATGAGTCTGCTCCAACCACCGGAAGCAATCACCATATCAAGACTTCTAGCATGGCATGACACTTTAAGGATAACAAACAAAACAACCCTAGTGTGGATATTTCAACCCCACAGCTCGTTTTGCAATCTAAAAGGAAGAGGAGACTCACTTCCTCTAGCAACAACACGTAGCCAAAGAGTCTATATAGCCTTTCTCCTCTTCAGCCCATCTTCTTCTCATACAACGGTTTCCCTTCCCAAATCAGGGCATATCAGACCCTTGGTGCAGTTGCCATTAGAACCAGCCAATGTGTGGTGGCAGTGACCATTATAAAAGTAATGAGCGAGTGAGATATGACCAAGGTGTCCAAGATCCCTAAGATATTTTCAACCTACATTGATTACTGAAAACACTGCTGTTTTTCTAGATAAGTGATAGCAACAGAAGACGGGTTCAAATATATCCACTTTTTCTTTACAATAATTAAACCAGGTATAATTGAAGAACAGGTTGTGATATCTGCACAAAACTTACACGCAACTGAATGGTCTCCCATCTGCCTGGATGCCAGGTCTCCCAGGAGATGAGGGCACAGAGGGATCAGCCCCTGCAACAGCTGGTGACACTGGAGAAAAAGCAGAGAAACAAACAGGGGTAGGTCTTGTTCTGTATCAGTATAACTGGAATTGGACCAAACTGAGTTTGGGGTTCTTTAAAAACAATGAAAAATGTTATTATAAAAAGAACATTTTAATTTCCAAGATAGCCAATGCCACCAACTATATCCCTCCCTTTCACTTGCCCCAACTAGTTCCAACCTACTCTAGAATGCCAATTAAGAATTCTTAAAACTGAATTAAATGATAGCGTCCATATTTATTGCAGATCTGCACATATACACTAACACACAATGCAAGCATGCAATACATTGAATTATCATTCAATCCATGTCAGAATTATTAGTGTTTAAGTGACCCCCAATCTCAGATCTTTTGCCTTACTGCCTATTAGGTTTCCCAGAAAAGTCAAGTTTAGCCAGCTACTTCCCCATCTTCTGCTACTTCTTCCTGCCTAACCCATACCTGCTCTGTCTGGCTGCTGATAGGCGCTGCCATCTTTCTTGCTGCCTCCCAGATGGTGACAGGCACTTTCTCCAGGCCAAGAGGCCTTTGTGTGACATTGCTCATTTCCTTCATGCTGAGAATGCTCCAATCCTTTGTTCAAAGATGTTTCCTCTAGGGAGTGCAGGTCTCTGGGGGTGGCACTGCTAGGTGGGATCTCTTTCCCACCGTGCTTGCTGTCCTTACAGTCACCATTCACCTGGCCTGTCCCAGGTCTGCTGTAGTTGCTGATCTCAAAATCTTGTGCCACTTCTGAGCCTTCAGACATAGTGGAGACTTCATCCTCTTCTTCCTCTTCGTCCTCGTCTTCTTCGCCTTTGATCTCCTCCCCTGCCTTCTATTAATATCACAGAGAATAAAGAAGAACAGCAAACACATTTTAATTTGGCATTCTTCTGACATATTGGGATTTCACCTATCATGAAGGCAAGTACAGTCATCACCTGGAAACAAGCACAACTACTTTTGAGACACATCACTGCAGTGTTAATTACTTCAGCTAAGACATCTCATATCTCAAACCCGAGCCCGTTTCTGAGCCATTTTGTTTCACTTTCCCTTACTTGTATACACCCAGATATTTCTGAGGGCAATTGATGCAATCAGACTAAGTGGTGCTGGGATGGGAAACTTCTTCAATGTCTCCACTGCTCTAGCAATGTGATTAAGAGCTCCTTGAAGCAGGAACAGGAAACTTTTTATCCAGGGAGCATTTCATGCTAGTAAATCACTGCCACCTCTATCTTCCACCTGCAGCTTTCATGAAAATCTGTGACCATTCTCATCAATTAAAGATTGCAAAAAGAATAAAATAAAAAAGGGGGCAGGATCCCCCCCCCCAACTATTGCTAATCCCTCCTTGCTGCTAACTGAATTGGATAACAGCTAACAAGGCTGCTAACTGAATTGGATAACATTTCTGGAGTGATTACTTCCTGACCCCACGTTGCATGATATTTTCCTCCCCACCTCCAGCTTACCCATATTTGCATTCATTCAGTACTGCTCCCACAACCTCTAGACTTTACTGGAGGTTACCAAATTCTTTAGGTCAAGCACAAACTGACTCTTTGTTCTGTGTTTAGATGGAGCCTGGTACGACTGGAGTTGGGCTAGAAGGGGGCGCTGTTCTGGGCCCAATGTACACCAATGGCAGCAAACTAACCTTAGGGAAGGACCACACGCAGGTGAGCTAAGAAAGAACCCCCCTCATAGGTCGGAAGACTGTCGTCCGCCAGCCCCCCCCCCTCTTCTCACCCCCACCCCCGAGGGTCGACCTTGAAGTTCTCGGAGCGCCCAAAGCCAGCCAGCGTACTTCGGCAACGTTCGAGGGAATATTGCCCCGTTTCAAACCACGCACCAATCCTAGCGCCCCCCTCCAGTGCGACACGATTTGATTGGGTGCTGCCCTCAACTCTTCCTTCCCAGACACACGCACACCTGCACGAGAGCCCACTGACAACATCTGGGGGTTGGGCGCCGTCCGCCCGCCCCCAAACTGGCTGCTTTCTGGCGCCCACTGGCGCCCCTCCCCCCCCCTCAGCATTCGGGCACCCCCCCTGCGCGCGCACTCTAATCGGTCCGTTTCCTTCCTGGAGAGCCTCACCTGTTCTCCGCCGGTGCGTCCCCTTCGCCCCACGCCAGACACCGCCACCGCCACCCGCGGTTGCCAACCCATCCCCCAGAGCGCGCCCCGGCGTCTCCTCACCTTGTTCCTGTATGGTCTGGCGTTGGGGGCCCGGGCCTGCGCGCCTCTCTCCGCCCTGGGCAAAGCGACGCTGTTGCTGCTGCCGCCGCCGCCACCGCCGCCGCCACCCAAGCGGGTTCTTTCCAGCCTCTCCTCTTGAAGCAGCCCCTGTGCTCGGCCTCGAGTCACTCGGCCGCCCCCCGGCGCGGCGCCGTCCCCGCCCAAGTAGCGCACAATCTCTCGCAGACTAACGGGGGAGGATTCCTCCTGGGCGGCGGGCGGCGGCGGCGGCGGTCGCTCCCGTCCGGTCCGACGAGGCGGAGGAGGCGGCGGCGGCGGCGGTGGCGGCGGCGGCGGCGCGACTGGCTCCGCGCGAGGCGCAGCACGCTGGGAGGACCGGGGCGTCGCGGTGGCGGCGGGAGCGCTGGGCGGGGAAGTGCGGGCCGGGCGCTGCGGGGCCGCCGGACTGGCGGCGGGCGCTCCACCTCGCCGGGGAGGCTGGACCCGCGCGGCGTTGCGGTACGAGATGCTTCCCTTGTAGCTGACTCGGAGCACGGCGCGTTGCTGGATGAGCTTTTCCAGCTCGGCGCGGGTGCGCTCCGGCTCCGGGCCGTGCCGCCGGCGCACCATGCGGCAGATGCGCTCCAGGTCCGGGCGCGCCTTGCGAGAGCGCAGCGAGTCGATGGTGTCTAAGATCCACTCTTGGTAGCGGGGCGCCTCCTGGCCCGGGGGCGGCGGCGGGGGGCCGGCCATGGTGTTGCCGCCTCCCCCGGGGCTTTGCTGCCCCCGTGCGCCGCGCCGCCTTGGCCTCAGCCCTTGTCCGCGCGGCGCGAACTGGACCCTCCACCCGGCAGGCGCTGCTGCTTGCTGGAAGCGGCGGCGGCGCGCGGGCTGGTCCGGGCAGCGCGAGCTCCTCCCTCCCCTTCCCCCAGCCGCACGCGCCGCCGCCTCCAACACCGCCCGAGCGGGACCCGCAGCCGCTTAAGGAGGCGCTGTTGCCTCCCGTAGTCTCCCTACACTTGGCGACTTAAGGTGGAGCAGGAGAATTCTCGGGCTTCCTTAGCGGCCGCTCGGAGGGAAAAGACGCTCTCAGGCCGCCTCCGTCAAAAGTCAGCCCCAATCCTACGGGAGAGGTCCAAGTCTCTTCTATTTATAGCAGCGGGGAGTTTGCACCGCGTCTTCCAAGCGGGCAAGTAGAAGGGAAGTTTTCCTCCTGGCCGTTTTTTCTGCAGTGCTTTGCTTTCTCGTCCCACGCCCTTCTTCATTAGTCCAAATCACAAATCACAAATCTATCCCCCGCCTCCTCCACCAACGAACCGATTCGGCAGCCCCTGATGTCGTCTTACTGTCATAGTTACTTCCTATTCCACGGAAGTTTCTGTTCTGTGATGCCCAAACGAGTCCACCGCTGGATGTAATGAGATTCGGCTTGGAGTAAATATTGTAGACAAAGAATGGACTTATAGGTCTGAACAGTTGACGCGGGGAACTGCCTGTCTTTTTACAGGAAGATCTGCTGCCTTAAGTTTGCATTTTTTTCCCCCCCCTGGTGATCGTGGCCTTCATTTTCTAGATCTGAAGCATATTTTCTATCTTGCATTTTGATTACTTTTCCTTAGGACCAAGGCCTAGATGCCTGGTATGAAGAGGAATGAAATAAAAGCAGCAATTTGTTCCTGATTACAACTATGAGCACAAAAAAAAAGGTTTCTGTAAAAATATGGATTTTACTGTAGTGCTGAATTTCATATCCTGCTTCTAGCTTCTTGAAAAAATATGTGTTCACCCATTGCCCATTATTGATTTAACCATGGCTTACTGAATTTAACAGTTTACTGTAACAGAATTACAGTTACTTAAGTATAAATTAATCATACTGGTTGGGAATCCTACAACAAATTAAGGTAAAATATGGCTGGCTAGTTTGTGATTCAGTGCAGTGTGTGAACGCAGTCAGAGTAGATGTTTAGTGTATTACAAAAGTGAAACTATACTTTATAAAGACTTTATAGCTGCTGCATTTGTCAGTTATATATCTGTTCTACCAATCATCACACCTTCAAATAAGGAACCTACACATAATTGATGACCTAAACAAAAGCGAGATATTGAGAGATTTGAATTAAAAAAATTATCGTATTAGTCACAGAAAGTTGAATACTCTTTATCATTTGGTATATCAGGTTGGTTACACAAGAGCAACTGAGACTTTCATGTATTAACTCTGTATTCAGTCTGTACTTCTTTGTAGCTAGCTATTTTTTCCCCAGAGGTTTGCCAGAGATAGAATTGCTGTTTCCTTCCCATCAAATTATGCAGTATCTAACACTGATCAAGTTATATTAGCAGTTGGGGGACGAAAGGGAAATTCACAAGTATCTCTTCTTAGAATTTCAAGTACAATTAAAAGACTACAGTATATAAAAACTGATTTTCCAACTCAGTTGTTCAAACTTCACATGATATATAGGCGATCCATCTTCATTTTAGCCTATAGAAGAATTGCTCATAAAATGAATATAAACACTTAGGGCAGGGGTGTCAAACTCGCCGCATCACGTGATGTGTCGCAACGTATCGCAACTTTTCTCCCCTTGCCGGAGCTGGAGTGGGCGTGGCTTCCATGTGACGCATCCGGCCAGTGGGCCGGCAGTTTGATACCCCTGACTTAGGGCCATTACTTAGATTCCCTCCAAATGGGTTGGGCTAAAGCTCCAGCACTGAATTAGTTTTCAGGCAACTTTATAAATGACCAAAATTCAGCATGCAGGTGAAAATTGAGAAAACTTGGAATTCAGGCAGAATTGCAGATCCAAAACTCCATCAGTCTACAGTAAATTAAAACAATGCCATACGGGTAATCTTTGTTTAGCAACTGTCTCATTTAGTGACCATTCACTTACTATAATAATAAAAAAGTAGCTTTGTTGAAGATTATAAATACAGTCATGGTTTCACTTAGCAAAGGCTTTGCTTAACAAATGTGGTTGCTAAAGGACTACCTGTAATGAAACATTTTATATTTGTTTTCTGAATTGTGTCTCACTTTACTACCAATAGATCATGACTAGTAGAAAATAATAAGATAATTAAAATAATTTGATTGTATGCCAGAAATAAGACGACACTCTGTGATACTTAATAAATCTATGGAAGGCTCCTTTGCTGCAGAATGATTATCACCAAATCTATCCACTGCAGGATGAATAGCTTCTTTAGTGAAAGTTATAGACCCACACCATGCTTGTCCAGTGCAGGTTGATAGTTTTTTTTTAATTTCCCAAGCTAGGGCTATGAGATAATTATTATTAATCCAATGTCATCTTACCATCTTCCATGCCTAAGAAAGGAGAAGAACCTGGATCTCTTCACTACTAGATTATTTCAATCAAAAGGCAGATCCAAAGTTTGCTTTCTGAAATATGGATTTGGTACACTGAAGATTCCACAATAATTTTAATATAATTGCATTTATGCTGCTAGAAACTGAATTATAGGAGAGTCAGGATTTAGCAGTTACGAGGGCTGTGAGCAACAGTGGTTACATCTCCACCTACACATAGGAAAAGGAAATAGGTCCCTATTCATAAGCTGATTCAGTGACAGGAAGTGGTCAAGAATGAACTGCCTTTCATTTTTTTTCTTTTCAAAGATGGGAATAAATACATTTTTATGTTTAAATTATCAAAATATCAACTGAATTTGACAGATTAACAGCAATTGTTCTGAAGGGTGCTGTAGGAATTGTTTTGCTATTCTAATACCAGCATTTTTAATTTCAAAATTTTTCTTTGAACTCCAGAATCGTACCTAAATATTTGTTAGCAATAAAAGTTTTCCAAATATAAAGATGAACAATTTCACATTCCTCTAATATAATGTTCAAATCTGTTTAAACATAAATAAAAAAGTTCAACTCACAGTCTTGTTCACAACACACACACACAACCCCTATTATAAAAGTTTTGACAATTTTGATATTGGAATTTGGACATATCAGTTTCTTAGTGGCTGCCCCTCCCAGCTCATTTTATAAAATAGGAAAACACTCAAGTTCTCAAAATGGTCTGAAAACTAGATATTCTATTATAATAAGGTGCCTTACATAAAACTGATTTGCATAGCATACAACAAATATGAGATAATCAGCTGCTGGAATGCTGACCAGTTTCTTAATTTACAATACTGGCATTACTGCCTTTCTTTGTAATTTCTGGTCCTTATCAAGAATAATCCATCTTTTTCTTTTTGAGCAATCATTGGAAGTTATTCTCTAGTCTATCCTACACTGTAGCCCAGCTCTACAGTGTAACAACAGAATTAAGTGTAAGAAATAATACAATAGCTTGTCACAGTTCCAGAAGCAAAATAGAATTAATTTTCCAGAGTTTGGGGAAAACAGTTTTCTATTTTAAATTTTTAAAAAATGAGGGAACTGTGAAGAATCCAATAGCTATTATTTTCTCTGGTAAGTCTTACTTGTATATAAACAGCCAGCTTGTTGCATTTACTGGCTGAGGTACACTGAAAGAGGAAGTGCACTCAGCTTTTCAGTACACCTCATTCTGTCCCATTGAAAACAGTCACCTCTAAACCAAAATTACAAAATTCAATTATTTAGCATATACAATTTAGCCTTCAATATGTTATGATTCTTTGTAATTTTATTATTGAGATACCTTAACCAATGATAATGCCTTTTTTCATGGAAAGACCTCTTCAAATATAATTAGAACCTTAAATGCAGATATTCAAAGAACTTGTAATAGAGTTGTATTTCCAGTGATGATTGTGAGTTTTCTTATTAACAGTTTTTTACTACTAACCCATAGGAACTCAATTACTTTTGTTTTGAAAGTAATTTCCATTTTGTCTTCCTACTCTCAAGAGAGTTTGAATGTATTTAGTATTTGAATACACAACAGCATCTTCTTAAGCTGGTCCCTGTCGGATGCATTGGACCACCACTCCCAGGATATTTTAGGAATAGTACTCCAACATATTTAGAGGGTATTGAGTTGGGGAAGGCTATCATAGGACATTATGTAACTAGATACATGCCTTTATTTGCTCTGAATAAGGTTTTTTTTAAAAAAAAATACAAACAGCAGAAGAGTTTTCCATGCACATTAACATGACAGTGTGTATGAAATTCTAATATAGAAACTCAAGAATCTGACAATTCTGGGGTGCTCACATAAATTTTAGGTAATGGACGTGTTGATTTCACAGCCATTTGATAAATTGCCTCTTCCATTATCAATACTCTCCAGATAGAATTTAAAAGTTTCAAAATGTAATGCATATTTGATTATGAAGCAAATGCATTTTTCAAAAAGCTAATAATTTTCATTGACTGAGACTTAAAATTAAAACAGAGAGCATTCAATTCACATACCTTCAGTTATGTCAAATTGGTTTTAAAGCGTTATACAAAGGGAGTAGGCTGTATCAATGGTTAATGAAAACTGCATCATGTGAGTTCCTAAAAGTTCCATAGCTTTTTATTTCATGTTATCTTTTTAGCACCGGCCATCATGACTCAAACTCCTTACTGCTGTTTCCCATCTTATCTAAAGTTTAGGAATTAAACTTTATTTTTTTTAAACAAAACTTTATTGGTAATAGTTTCAAATATGTTTACAACAAAGCACACTGTTAAAGAGGAAGTAGGGTTTGTTTTTTTTCTCAGTGAAACAAGTTTTGTTGGATTACACAGAAGTGGTTTTTGCTTCTTCCAAGACTGGGAGCAG